GGCTCTAGTGTCAATTGCAATACTGGGAGCTATCAATTTCTAATGTTAAAAGTTATTAAGCAACTAAGCTGGAGTCTTGCTGTATTGCATCTCTCCTAAAGCAGGCTCTCTTTCAACAGAAAAATCTGAAAACTGCAAAAGCCACCTACAAATACAACTACAAAAAAAATACTTTAGTTTTAAAGTTCTCTTACATTCCTACTATCAAATTTTAACCTCATACTTGGAATAGTTTCTGGATCCCTGAAATTCCCAAACCAACCTTTAAACACACTAACTTAGGCCTTCATAGAGCACTTGTCAGCAGGAAGGAACAGCTTAAATATCCTGGTTTACCATCTGGTTTTTATACTCAACATCTTGAGGCCAGTGAGGTTCATAGGACAAGGTAACAATTTTATTAGACCAGAAGATACAGCCTGGGGGAGGGATAGTACATATGTTTTTGTTAAAACGTAGAAGTCAGGAGAACCTCTCCAACTCCTACCCAACCACATGAGACAGCAACAGCTAGACAGGGTTACAGAAGTAAAATTCCTTTCAAAGAATAGAAATAAGAACTGTAAATGCTAAATAAATATAACTAGTTATCCATGTAGCCATTATAATGGATAGATTAATCTCAATGAAGATTAATGTCTAGAGTTTTTCTTAGTAATATTTCCCACTGCTCATATGAAATCCATTCATAGCACATCCCCCAGACGCTTTAGGTAACCTGAAGCATCTGGATCTTCTCTCTAGCCCAACTATCACATTGAGAAACAGAACAACAGATTTAAAAACTTTAAAAGAGAAGGAACTGTCAGGAATCCAGAGCTCTTCCAGTAAGTTTTGACAAGTCTCCTTCCACATACAGAAAAAAATGTAGGCTTCAGATATGGAGCTTTGTATTAGAATACATTCTACTGTATGCATTGTAGATATTAAAAAGCACAGCTTCCGTTGCTTCCCAGTCCCATGTCAGGTCTACAGCACCTGGACCCTCTGCATCTGCTTACACATTCTGGAAGAAATCAAGGTGTGACCCATATCCCAGTCCAGTTTTAAACAAAGTCCATCTGACTGTGTTCATATGCAGACGAGATCTTCCTCCTGGGAATCAGTCACCTTAGCTGCCAGGATTCCTGTCTTTCTGGCAGGGATGAAGGACAAATGAAATCCCTCTGCTATGCAAAAGCAGAATATTCTAACACAAAAAGAAAAGGTCAAGAAATTGAAGGCATTTGTAGTTGAGAAAAACTTGGCCCACAAAATTCTCCAAAATCTTGAAATCAGTGATAGAAAATATGTATTTAGCATTTTAAGATTGGCTCATGATACTGTGTCTACTGCCAGAAGCTTGGTCCCCTAGAGTTGAAGATTTTTGAAAAGAGATCCTGAAATTGCTGTTGAAGGGAGATTACACACTCTCCTTCATAAGCAGGAGGATGGCTTTTACCAATGTTACAGGAGAAGCCAGGAGAAACAAAATCAAGAACTCCAAAGATAATCCTTGTCCTCCCAGAGGACTACTACCTAAACTCAGTTCTAATAACTAAGAAACCAGACTCAAAGTTCACTTTCTGTTCTCAGAAAAGGTTTCTTCCATTAGATTCATAAAGGACCAAATGGCAGAGAACCAGCAGCAGAAGCCAGCACTCCAGGTTCAAAAGCTGGCTCTAATCATGCATCCTTCCCATCCCTGTAGTATAACCTTTCCTTAGTGCCCTGTTATTTCTCTCGTATGTACACTGTGTTCCACTATTAAAAAGATTACTCAATACTAAAGCCATCTTTTTCATCTCCTGACCACTTTCTTCCTCTCGTCACTATTCCTCGCCTTCTCTGCCTTCTAATTTCCTTTTCATCTTTTCATTCTCAACAGTTTATCCATCAGTCTTGCTCACATGTCAGTTTGCCACAACATCCCTTCAAGTTCCATCCTCGAAATACATCCATCTCTAAAGATATTTTTAACTAATATTAAGGTATTAAGCATATCAAATCCTGCAAAAGGACACACACAACAGACAGTACCTTCTACATTCACTGCCCTCCTTATTATTCCACCCATAAAGATGTGATCCTGACAAGATGTTGCTGAAGAGTTCGAAAGATTTCACGGACCAGGACTGTCTAACGATTACAAAGCTAGTACAGATGTCTGACAGAAACTGGGTGGAGGGCTGCACAGAATGGAAAAGATTAAGTATCTACTTTATTCTTGCAAGGTGAAGAAGGGTCAAGAAGCTTCAGAGCCAACAGAGTGGAAAAAGTAAGCAGGAAGCAGGCAAGAGAACACTACTTTTTTAAAAAGGACTTCCTCTGACTTACAAACTGCTGTAGAAAGCCCTTATCAGCAAGTAAGAGCTGCTGATAGCTCTCATTTGAGAGCTTTAAACATTTTTAAGTACGAAGTGACCTGCTGCTGACTCCATCTGTTATTTCTCAGCTGCTGGAGTGAACCTCAGGCAGAAGGTCAGCGGAAACATGGAGCAGAAGTCTGGGAGGGATACAAAAGGTGACCAAGAGAATTGAGAAAGAATTTATAGTCACAAAGGTATCACAGACTTCTGAAACTTGAGTTTATACGGAGGCAAGAGTGCACATCACTCTACAGGAAAGACGTCAAAAAAATCGAATGACTCCTTCCATAGGGAGGCATGGAAGGCTGGAAAACATGTGCTGATCTCTCCCAACATCTATATCCCTAGCCTCCTCCCTAACTTGGATGAGGACCTGTTTTTATAGATAACTAATATAAACACATCTCCAGAAACATCCGTGACAGTTCATGGCACTGTCCTGACCGCACATCTTGGATCTTGAGAGCAGCACCACTCCCTCAGCTTCTCACCATACCCTGAAGCACCCTCAGCTGAGACTCCACATGGCAACAAGGCAACTGCGCTACTGAGGTCTCACACAGATGAGCACTGCTGGACGATACAGGGACACCAGTAAAGAAAAAAGTCACCTAGCCATATTTGAAAAGATACGTGGATAATTCATCGTATGAATTATTTCACACAACCTTTCAAAGTTGTTATATATTTATGCAGGAGACATGTCCTGACCCCATTCAGAATGCAGTTGTGGCAGGTACTGTGCTAACACACCATTGCTGCTTATTACTGCATACACCAGTCCTGGGCCACATGAAGCTGCACCTGTACCAGAATCTCTCTTGCAGCAAAGTTTCAGAAGATTACAAGAACGTTTTTATGAATAAGAATTGGTTTATAATGTAAACCTTCATATATATATGGAAGCATGTGCTTATAACCAGTTTGCCAAAAACTAACAACTGTATCTGGTGCCACACAGAAAAGGTGTTCCAGCAGCATCACGTGTCATTTTCTGCTAGTAAGTCATATTAGTATACCAGAATAGAAGACATCATTATATACCCTAGACATTTTCAACACCATTCTTACAACTTGAGCACTAATACTTTGGAAAAACTATGGAGAAAGTAATACTTGTGAAGAGAGGTAGATAAAGGGAAATATAAAACTAAGCCCAACTTGGCAGTGAGATGAACTTGGAGAAGAGTGAAACACTGCCCCTTCCCCCAGCCAGAGCTCCTCTGTGACGTGCTGTTCTGCAGCATGCCTGGGATGATACACTTGGAGCAGGCAGCTTTAGCTTGCTGTAAGCTGTGGTCAGCGCAGCGTGTCTGTACATCAGTGCATGCACAGAATACAGCCGCAGAAATTGAATCGTGCAAGAGTTAGTTCAAAGAGGACTTCTCTGTCAACATCCAGGTTTCTATTCACTGCACTTTTCTATTTTTACTGAAAAATCCTATAAACTACATGAGCATACACAGTGTCGTGCATAAAACTTGAAAATTTCAACTGTAAAACTCCATTTCAATAACAGGACTATGTTTCCTGGAAAAAAGCATTAACTCAGTTGTGCTAAGCAAATACAGATTTCTATCCAAATTATGTACAACCATAAGGCTAAAATGGTAAATAACTGAAATTAAGGTTTACAAGAATAAATGAAATTTCCATACCCAGGAGGGATATTACTTGTGCTCAGAGGTGATACACTATTTTTAGGACTATGAAGAGCTGCATTACTTCTAGCACACTTTGAATTTTCAGAGTTAAACATTCGCTGCTCACATCTAGTACAACTGCTGCTCTGAACCCTCAGCAGTGTTATGAGCCAATTCCCTCAAGATTTTTGTCTGAGAAAAGCTTCAGTTAAAGTTTCAGCATGGGATCTACATACTCTTTGATTTTCTTTTGGTAGGAGAAAAAAAATCACCTCTCTTTAATCTCTAGTTACATGCCTCTATTATGACCTATTCTAAACTTATCCCCTGGCATAGCAAACGGAATTTCACTAAATGCATAGATAGATATTGGACACCTTGTTTCCACTTTGAGCTCAGTATCGAAGGTAACACTTACCCTCAGTAGTATGACATTAAATTGAGAATAAGTTTTGTATTTCCATTCCACATTTTACTTCCTCACACCCCTTTCTCTCCACCTACTAGCCTCCCAGAGAACAGCAGAGGCCTATGCCTCTTGCTCAATAGTCTATTCCAACAGCTGAGCCACAGAAAGAGTGCAGCACTGCACAGATGGAAGGGGAACAGTGTTCAGAGAACCTCCCAGTTAAAGGAAAATCCTTTTTAGATCTTGCTATTTTATTAAAGAAAACCAGAGGAATAAAAAAAATAAATAAATTCCAAATCCACACCAAAAAAACAGCCAAAACAAACCATCAACCCACAACTATGGCATTTAAAGCAGCTATTCAGAAAAACTTATTCCCTAAAAAATATGGTCTAATTGCGAACCAAAGAACTACACATACTAACCCTAGTCTCAAAACATTAAAAAAAAAATCTCCAACTTGGTAAATGATTGCTTAATAGCTATCAACTCAACTACTAATTGGATAAGAGAAGTGCAAAATATTATACAGTCACTAAGTATATAACAAACTGCTGATACAGATTGCTTAAATTTTGAAGAAAAAAAATAAATACTTACCACAGTGGGGTTACCACTGCTGATCAACTGGCTGACTTCGTGAAAAATGCTTTTGCAGTCGATTGATTTGTCTAATGATCCCCGTTTCACTATCACCGCTACTGCTAATAAAATCTGCTCCCGAACGTACTTTTGAAGGCTGCAAACAACATTGCACAAACATAGTTGCAGATAGTTCTGGACATCAATGCTCAATAAACTTTAAATACATTTCTTTTTCAAACATTTTGTGTGAATTCATAAGGGAAAGCTGACAACTCTACAGAAGTTAACTGCTAAGAATGGAAGACAAATTATTGTTATAATGGTCTTCCACCACTACCTTGGGAAACAAAAAGGATAACCCAGACTTTATGCAGAATCCTACAAGTTCAGAAGTATGTTTTTGATACTCACTTAGGCCTTTGTAAGACATAGGTTAGAAGGAATGTTCGCAGTGACTCGATGCTAGTTTTTTCCAAGAGAATCCATTCTCTTACAACTGCTTCCATTATCGCTGTAGCAGCTTGAAAAAGGACATAGTCTACTTTACTAGTTTCTGTGGGGAAAAACAAAGGTAACTTGAGTATTAGAAGACATGCATGTATTCAGCTTGAATGTATTTCCAACAAAAGAAAACTCATGGAATTTACTATTATTTATTAATAAATGGGATTTTGTTGCTATAAAAACCAAGGAGGAGAAATAATCAATAACCCAATTATTAAGTTGTCCAATATTATTCAAGCCAGTGACTTAAGAGAAAAGTTGTCTATGCTACAAGGCTGGATCAAAGATCAGGAATAAGAATGCTAACACAACTGGGGAACAAAATTAACAAGATGATTTAGTCCCAACATCTTAAATAATTAAAGTGACTAAGCTGACATAAAGAGAAACATGTCCACTTACACTTAAAGATAATATTTGTGTTTAATTATCCAAGCAAAAATGTTACAGACTAGTATTTGAAGTTTTCTACATCATGTTAAAGCTTCCATATTTATCTTAGGGTAATCAAAACATAACTTCTGACCACAGTGTAGGAATCATTAGTCCTTATTATCTGAATATGGGATTACTAGGTGTACAGATGCACTACAGAAAGTATAAAAATATGTTCTGGAGAAAGGTAACAGTTTGGTGATTACCACGTACAATTTAAAGAGAAATGTCAGAATATGAATATAATTCCTATTATAATAGAAAGCTACAGAGACTTTTTTGTTGTTGTTGTTACTTTGCTTTTAAAAATTTTAACTTGGAAATAGCAGGTAGTATCTCAAAAGCCAGTTTCAAAACATTCTGAGCTCTGCAGAAAACACAAGAAGAACATTAAGAAAGGGTGTAGCCACAGGGTGAAATGGTGAAATAAAATTCCCAAACAAGAAGCATAGTGGGTGACCCACCAGGACTAGAAAGACTGAGTTTGTTTGAAAAAACATCAGTCATGAGATGAAGGGTTTTAAACCACTACAAAACAAACTTTCTTCCTCCAATTACATACAAGCAAGTTTATAATATAAATTTCCATTATATGCAAGTTCTACATCCAAGATGGCGGCTAATTTGCTACGGTATTTTTATGTTATCTAATCAGGCTCCAAATCTAAACCTACACAGATAAACATGCTTAAATCAAAATGAACCACCTTAAAATCAACTTAGCTTAATTTGGAAAACTAAATAACCACTTAAGTAAAAGATTAATGTGTATGTCTAACACACACATAAAAACGAACTGAATTATTCCTGCATGGGAATTTTAATGCTGGCATTTGTCAACTTCCAGGTCTTTGGCTTTTCTAACTGTACAAAGCTCACACAAAACAGAGAATGCAAATAAAAACGGACGGAATTTCTCTTTTGTGTCAAGAACTGCAGATGCACAACTGGAATCATTAACAGCACAGATCTCCAGCCCCCAGTGTAAGCTTATAACTAGCCAGAGCACCGTTATCCTCTACATGAAGTTACTAAAGAAAGGCAGGGCAGGCTTTGGCAGTACATTGAACAGCTGTAAGCTTACAGCAGAAGAACGCAGACCCTAGTGCTTCCTGGGTTCAAGTCCAGGTTTTTAAAGAAACGGCACAGTAGTGGCTGTTCCCCTTTCCCTTATGCTCATCAACTCCATTATTCTCCCTGTATCATTCACACACTCCTCTTTCCACAAATGACATCAACATCCTTTTTATCTCTCTCTACATCCATTCCAGTTCCTGCCTTGACCATTTTTTCTGGTTCTTTTTAAAGCCATCTACTTTGTTCCTCTGGTTCCTGCCCATCCTGATCAGCACATATTCCCTCACTACACTTCCTCTTTTATTCTTCGTCATGAACAGCTTGTCACCATTCTCTAGTTCCTGATTTCATAATCCCTGCCTCTCCCTTTTCAGCTCCCAAGTTGTGACAATAAATAGCCTCAATTTTGCTGACCCATAAAGCAAAAACTGTAATTGCAGTCTTCAGGACCAGATCAAGTACTCCCATAATATGCTAAAACCAGAAGAAATCCATTTGTAGAAAAACATTTTGATTGGGAAGTGGGTGTAGGAAAAGCACACCCTGCTCTATATATCACAGTATAATTTAAAAATACAGTAGTAGGTCTGCAATATAATCATAATATTCATGAATTGTAAGTCTCAATCCAGTAAATTTAGAAATAACTGTTAAAAAAAATACTGTGGAATGAATGAAGTAGGAAAATAATAATATTTTAAACAGAATTCTAATATTTCTCTGCTCATTCTGGCAAATGCTTTGAAAGAAAAGTTGGTTTTTGTGGTTTTGTCATGTGTTCTTTTGCATAAACTTCTGGGTTTCCCTCATCGGGGCTCAGAGTCAGCTTTCACCAAAACCTCCCTGTTGCCTGCCCCCAACACTCACATCTGGTTAGTACAATGGTGCTTGCTACATCATTACTGCTCCTGTAATTTTCAGATTATTTAGCTGCCCAACTCTAATAAGTCTCTATAGCACCTGTAAAAACAGATTTATTCTTAAGGACTTGTTAACACAACCACATTTACAGCATTTCCATTAAAATCAAAGAAATTTCTGATAAAGGGTGATATCTGCCTATCTCTTTCCTTTTCCACAGGTATAATCACACAATTTCAAATCACCTGCTTTTACCAGGTGGACAGAAACTTTTCTATTTTTCTTTAACAAAACAGTTGGACATAAATCAAAAAAAGGCAGCAATAGGCTTCACCCCTCATCAAAAAGTACCCCTCATCAAAATCAAAACTGATGTTCATACTCCCAGCTGCAGAAGAACAGCACAGTTCCAATTATAAAAGCGTGTACATATTTAACTTCATTTATTAAAACTTACCCAAAATGTGTTTGCAAACAGCAAATGGTGATTTTGATTTTCTAAATGATAAGAATATGTGCTCAGCATGTTGGCGTTGTTCATTATTGACCATGGAAGGTGGTGCCTGGAAAAAAAAAAAAGTTATTCAAGCACTGAAACCCCATCCTGACTGTAAATATAGTAAGAGCAATTGTCATGAACTTAGAAATGTTGCCTTGTTAAACATCAAAACCAAGTATCTCCAGGCAAAACTACTTGCTCTTTCTCAGTCATAGCCTCTTCTTATATACCACTGTGTATTTACATTACATGTACGTAAGTGTGAATACTGAGACATCAAGCAGAGAATGAATAATTCTAAATATAGTGTTCCTAATGATGCTTCTGAAGAAAGCTAAATGCGATCTAAATTCAACCCATTTTTCTACTCAAACCAAAAATATTACTGCACACTACTAAATGCTGCTGCACATGCTCAGTTTCGGGAGCAAAGCACTTTTTTCTATAGTTCTACATTTGTTTTAAAATATTTAATTGTGTAATAAATTCAAGGGATTAAAAAATCACTACAAATACATTCAAAAATAAAGTATTGTCAGTAACATACTACCCTCTAGTGTTTAATGTTGAAGTTGACATCCTGAAGACTTGAGTGCAATTGAAGAGAAAGGTGAGCCTATTTGGGGATGGCTATAGCGGTTCCCCAGCTGCTTACACCCATCCCCTTACATCCTGGGCACCTTGGCTGCTCAGGTAATACCTGCTGCTCTGCTGCTGAAAAGCAGCTCCATGGTGGTTTCTACCTGAAAATCAGCTCCAGGTAAAGCATAAAACTACACAATAACCTGGACCACTGCAAGGTGCCTACAGAGCACAGGTGAGAGTTAATTGCCTGCACTGCAGTCTCACCTCATGAAGCAACTCCAGGAATTCTCCCACACTGTCCCACAAGGTAAAAACAACCCTGTAGAAACCATCAGCTGCTCACAACACCACACTGCTCTCCACTTCTGCCACCAATATTCTCCGATTTCTGCTATTTGGGATTTATCTGAACGAGTACATGGCACAAGAAGCTCTTGCAAGGGATTGATACCTCAAACAGGGTAAGCAGAACTAAAGCACCTTTAATTGCACATGTAGAAAGATCACATTCAAACTGCAGAGCCGGGTCAAGGTGATAGCATAGGTTATCGAACTTCCAAACTCCAAATTTCAGTCCTGTCCCTAGCAATCTGAGGAGAACATGGGTGCCACCTATCTTTTGGCTGTGATTTACACCCACTGCTTTGGGAATAAAAGCACAAAGACCTTAGCATACAGACCAAGGTTTTTAACTTAAGTGAAATATTTGCCAGTAAATAAAACATATCAAATCTGATTAAATTCTTTCATCCTTGATGGAACACAAGATGACAGAAGACTCACATAAGAGGAAATAACACCAGAGATTACAATTTAATAATCTGAGTAAATGAAGCAAGGAAAAGCAGGCTGCTGATCCTTTGATCAAGGGGGTCCTAATAAACAGCTGTCCACCTCCTTACACAGTAAATTTTTGACTCTCACAGCTTTTCCTGTGCAGATATGAAGAATGTCTGTGCAGGGAGAAAAATAAGTAGTGGAGGAACACGGCTTATGCAGAATAAATGCTCTGTCCCTTCACAAACCTGCTCTGCTCTACAGCCAGTTTGAGGGCAGGATGCCCCCGGACAGTGATTTGAACCTGTGCAGGACAGCTCTTACCAGCTCTGGGGACTAGACCACGGTGTTTGTCCATGCCCCCTTCCGAGCAGACAGCAGTTCATTGTTAGGCTGTGCACATGTATAGATGCAGTGTGCCTTCAGTTCATGGCCCTCTTCCACATCCTTGGAGCAGCGTCTCAGGGACTAAGTCAGCATGCTGCAGGTAGATATGCACACAGGAAAACTTCTGGATATTTGGTACATTACACACTGCTGTATATCTGAGACAGAAGTAAGCTCCATGGCCCAGTCCAAGTCTTTCCAAGACACTGAGCTGCAGTGAACTCCAATCCAATGCAGAAACTCAAGCTTTAAGAACTTTTTAATCAAACGTAAACTTGTAAAGAAGCAGCCTTATCAAATGGGATATGCAACATTTCTGTGATAAAGTCTCAAGTCTTCTGCATGCAGCCAGCCATCAGCAGGAGCTGCTCCCAACCACACATGCCTTCTGCAGTCTGAAGGACAGTACTTCTCTGCACAGACCCTAGCTACATTCCCTGCAACAGAACCAGCAGTACTGAATGCCAAAAGAATACTTGGTGCAGGTTATCAAAAATGCAAGAATGACCTACACAGCAACAGCTTAACACACGCTTCAGTCAGTGCTACGGCAAATAAACCAAATCTACCAAACAAAAAAGCAATCTCCACATTTTTCCCTCATTGTATGGGCAAGCATTTGTGCAAATGTACAAAGAACCATGATCCCTTCCATCAACTAGCCCACAAAAAACACCCAAAAACACAAAGTGTGAGGGGGGCGCAGGGGCAAGAGGAATGAACACTCTTTTGTTACTTTAATAAAGCATCAAAAAGCCAGACAAGTGCCAGTGCAACAATAGGGAGAAAAGGAGTGGAGTAACGTTTCCCTTTCAACAGTACTGACCTTGCAGCTCACAACTCTGCAGTCTTGTGAAGCCTCAATAACTACGGCCATGTTAGGAAGAATCCTTTGGGTGTGACAAAGCATAACATTTTTCAAGTTGGGTAATTTATATTTACATTTTTAGAGCAAGAAGATCAAATCAGGGCTACCTGATCTTGAACTAACTTTGCATTAACATTTGAGTTTTTCATACAGAGATCCTGTCTATTTTCACCATTCTGCATTAAAGACACTTTCAGGGATATCAGTTACAAACTATAGCACTGCTAAAAAATCCAGAATTATTATGCGAAATACCCCCTTTATGCTTATAATAACTATGAAATAGATCTCTTATTTTACATTATTTTAACTCCTCTACTTTTCTGAAGTCCAGTTACAGAGACCTTAGGCACCTTGGGAAGGTACATAGCACATCATATTCCTGTATTAATTTTAAAAATCACAATAATTTAATAATACATTACACACTTAGACTCTAATAACTGTCCAGAAGAGATAAGTACAACAATCAAGGTTTAAACTGTACTATACTTCCAGCAGAGGGAGCTTAAAGCTCACAGTCTACTGCCTTCACTGCATTAAGATAGTATTTATCTGTACAACAATGTAAAGTACAGTTAATTTTAGGCTTTAAAGAAAAAGCCAGCATATACATATTCTGCACACAAATTTCATATTACAAGAATACTGGCTTAGTGATCCCGAGAGCCCTGTATGTCGGTGCCCAGCACCTCCTCAGCACAATAGGGCTAGAAATGTACCCCAAGTACTCATCATGCTTGGAAGGTCCCCCAAACACACACGTACATTCACTGTTTTTGTTCTAATTGTCTCCTTCATTCTCTTCTCTACCACCCAGCTTACAAGGAATTAAATACCAGTGATGTAATTATCAGGCTCTTGTGGCATATTGAAACTATTTGCAGCTACATCCCTTTCGCAGAATCACAGAACATGCTGAGTTGGAAGGGACCCACAAGGATCATTCAAGTCCAACTCCTGGCCCTGCACAGAAGCATCCCCAAGAGTCACACCATGTGCCTGAGAGCAGTGTCCAAACACTTCTTGAACTCTGTCAGGCTTGGTGCTGTGATCACTTCCCTGGGGAGTCTGTTCCAGTGCTCAAACACCCTCTGGGTGAAGAACCTTTTTCTAATATCCAATCTATGCCTCCCCTGACACAGCTTCAGGCCAGTCCCTTGGGTGCTGTCACTGGTCACCAGAGAGAAGAGATCAGTGCCTCCTCTTTCTCTTATGAGGAAGTTGTATGGTCTGGCATTTACCTCTAACACCCATCTGTTCTCTCTTCTGTCCTAAAAGTTACCTGTAAAAAGTCATCCAGGACAAAGATAATCTTTCTGGTTTTAGCATAACAAGCTACTGCCCCAAAAGAATAGAACTCCTACATGACACAGTATTATAAATAAAACTACATCCTTTCAGCTACCATGATTGTGTGGATACAGAAAAGGAGCAGCAGCAGCACCTACTGATTAGATCCAGCAGGACTACTCATTTAAATGACAGCTATTCACTCATGGGAAAGAAAAACTGAAAGACAAGAGGCAGGCTAGCACTAATACTTGCAGTACCACTAAACTTACCTGAAAGCCTGGATTACTAATAAGAAAGTAATGTAACTCCTCACCTTTCATGTCAACAAGCTTATAAAAAAAAGAGAGAGAAAAATTAAGGCACAGTATCAATGACTGATTTGTAACAAAGCAAATGATCACGTTAAAACATCTGAATCCTGCATGTGCTTACAGAAATTCCATACTTTCTCTGTGCTGTTGTGAAAAACCCCTTCTGAAAGAGAGGCATTGGAACAGGTTGCCCAGGAAAGTGGTAGAATCACCATCCCTGGAGGTATTTAAGAGACATACAGATGTGGCTCTTGGGGACCTGGTTTAGTGGTGGACTTGGTAGTGCCAGATTAATGGCTGGACTAGATGATCCTAGAGGTCTTCTCCAACCTAAGTGATTCTATGGATCTATTTAAGGAAAAAGCATGGAAAAATCAAGGTCTTTGCTACTCTTCTCACTCCTCTTAGCAGAACACAGGTAATCACTAGGATTCTCCTCAATCCATCAATGGCAAATGAGCCAGCAGAAAAAAAAATCTTTTTGAAAAGAACAGAAACACTAAACTTTAAGATGAAATAGTTGGGCAGTGATATTTAATGGTAGAAAAAGAGAGAGATTTGGCTCTTATATTCTTGATTAAGATCTTAATAGTTTTCTTTCACAGAGTCACATATCACCCTACATTTGATTTTTCACTTTTTGTACACTGAAAAAACCAATAACACCAGCCCACTCTCAGCTCACATGGGTGTTACACCAATGACACAATTATTTTGGAATGATAAGAACTGTTGTGTAAAACTAATCTCAAGTCAGGTTTTCCCCTCCTTAACTATTAGACCACATATCTTACAAAAATCTGAACATAACTTTCATGCAATTACCTTTTCTTTCCAGTG